TTTCTTCACAAACAAAATGGATTAAAACTTAAATTAATGATGTATTTTTATTTTCTTTTTCAACAGTATATGTGATATTTTCTTCGTCATGTTATTTTGTGTACAGAAAAGAAAAAAAAAGAAACGAACGATTGCAAAAACTTGTTCGATCAGTAGGGCGGACAGATGAAAAATGAGATAGTGAAGAGAATGATGATTATTGTTATTTTTTTTTTGTTTTTCTTTTCGAATAGTGACCGCAGGCGATTACGTATGCTCTCTATATGTTCTTTTGATGTTATGTTTTTACTTAAACGTGAAAAAGATTGAATAAGTCTCATTAAAAAAGTATTTGAAAAGAGAAAACGAGCAGCTGTGTTGTTTTTTTCCTATTGTCTTTTCTTACCGGTTGACTTCGTTCGTTGATTGATTGCCATGTTTTCCATGGTACACTTATATGACTATTACGCCAATAATTATATGCTTTACGTTGAACATCATCACATAAAACTTCTTTAGCTTCTTGAAGTTTTTTAAATTGTTCCACTAAAAAAATTCTATTAAATTAAACAGAGAATAAGAAAATCTTCTAATATTTACTTGCTGTTGGATTATCTAAATTTTTATCTGGATGTAATTGAAGTGCTCGAATACGATATTCAGTTTGAATTTGATCTTTCTAGAAAAAAATAATCATAGACAAAATAGAATATGTAATATAATACATACATTTGAAAGTTCATCACATCCAAGAATTGTATAGTAATCATCAGATTCATTACGTTGATTTGTAAACAATGCATCCATATTTACGCGATCCATAATCGTATCTCAGAAGAACAAAAAAAATATATAAATTATTTTTTATTTTTACAGTCAAGAACTAAGAATATTTATCTAGTCAAAACTGATAAATACGAAAATTTTTAAAGAAAGATATATCATTTCTTTAACAGGTACTAACTAGACGTGCATGGGACCAAATGATTTTGATCTTGATCTAGAGAAAACTATTCGAGAATTTCTTCATATCACATCTAAAATAATTCTTTAATACTGTTTATTTATTTTGTCGACAACTAGCACTTTTTTAGGTCATCTCTCTTGAATTATGTTCTAATTTATATGATAATTTTCTTGAAACTCTAGAATATTTATTAAATATAAACTTGAATTCTTATTCCACACATCTCTAGTACTGACATATATAATATTCTCAAGGCAATTTCGTTCAATGCAACTATGAATAGAAGATGAGTGCTAATGCAAAATCGTACGCGATACTATTCATTAAGTACGTAGTCGAATGATTAATTCGAAACAGACACCTGCTAGATCTAATTGTTGATACGGAGGTTTATATGCGATGTTTTATCTGTAACTAATTCGACGATTCAATAGTTATTAATTAGGATCGACAGCTTTCTTTTCTACAAACAGTTACGAATATCACATCATTCAATATAGAGAAGAATGAAACCATATTATTTCTTACGTTTTATCTTAATTAAGACTTTTTCATATTTTGTCAGTTCCTGTTCATATTAATTTTTGTTTCTCTTCAAATAAACTACAAGCATTTATACTTCGAATGTCAATATTCAATATTATATGCTAATAGCAATATAACAAAGTCATTCGCATAGCTATAATATGTCGATATAGGGAATAGACATTTGGGAAAAACCGTTTTCTACGAGAAAAAAAAAACACGAAAAAGATTATAATATTTGATCTTATCTTTTATTATGATAATTTTTAAAATTAAACTAATAGCACTAAAAACCAACAGTATACGGTTAATTGCCATAAAAAGCATAAATTATTAGTTTTTTTGAAAGAGACAAAGACAAGATAAAGAGAACAAACAAAAAAGACACCGTAAGAATGTGAATAATGGAAAAGGAGAGAATTTTTTTGCTTTTCTCATTGCACTAAAAAAAAATATGACTAGAAAATACCGATTTTGAAAAATTTATTATCCAATAAACATATTAGTTAGAGATAACAAAATAATAGGGCTCACTGTTTTAAACTTGTTTATCGTAACAAAAATATTCGAGATTCGAAGATATAAACTATCTATATATAAATATATTTATAATTTAAAAAATTGAATAGAATAAAAAAAGATATTTTATGTTTCAGATTGATCCGATCGATGAAATATTGAAAATCGATGTAAAACATTTCGATTAGAATTATTTTCATGACGTTGATTACGATCAATAATTAACGATTGACGAGAAGTTGAATCTCTTGAACTATTACCAACTATTGTTGTTAATGATGTATTGGAATTTAATGGAGGTAAATTATTTAAATCAAGTACTGTCACTATACAATTGTCAGTATTATTATTATTATTTGTACTTTTTATTCCTGATCAAAAAGAAAAAAAAGAACAAACATCAAAAACAAAAAGAATTTTCTATTGATTAGAAAATAAAATAAAATTTATTTACCGGAAGATTTAGCTTCATGTTGTCGTTGTTCGTTAATTGAATGAATAATTATACGTTGATTAAATTGTCTCCAACGAATACAAAGCTAAAAGAATCAAAGATGAAGTCTTATTCTTCATAATATTTCATTTTACCTGCAGATACATCTTACATTGAACATAAAGAAATACCTAGAAACAAAAAACAGAAATAAAATTTCAAATCGAAATTCTCTATAATTTCAATTCGTTTCGTACCAATCCTCCCGTAAATCCAATGGCTACAACAAATAATTTAGTCCAAAATGGCCATTCTACAAAAAAATTAAATGTTTATTATCTCCTGAAGAATAAAATCTATCAAATAAACTTACGAAGTTTTCCAGCTTTAACTTCGTCTCGTGTTTTTTCAATTAAAACATAAAGTGCCCAAAGAACACAAGTAACAGCAATTAAATTAAATGCAACAGAACACATTACTTTTCGTCTTTCAACAACATTCATTTCTAATTTTTGCCACTAAAATAAATAAAAAATAATAATAATAAAGAATGAAAATTCTTTTTTTTTTTTCTAAATACTTGTTTAAATGGTTTTATTTCTGAATGCATTATTAATTCAAATTTACATAATTCACATGATTTTAAACCGGAACTTTTAATCCAACGTTGTAAACATGATTGATGTAAATATTGCATTGTACCCAAACATAAACATGGAGATACTAATGGTTCATCTTTTGTCCCTTCACCATGACATATTCGACATATATCAGGACAATTACTTGTTTTTGAATTCGTTGATGATAATGAAGTTCTACGTGTTAATGTTTCATTATTTAATAATAATGGTACTTCAACATTTGTTTTTTCGTTTGATTTTGATACGTTTGCTTCACCTTCTTCATCCATATACATTGTTGTTTTATCGAGTAAAATACTATTTTCACTTATATTTATTTGATTGTTGTTTTGAGATGAATCTGTAGCCATTATCCTTCGCTATTTATTAAGACGTCAATGAAAATTTTTTTCAAAAAAAAAAAATTTTGTTATGCAATCTGTTTACTTGAAAATATCACTAAATAGTTTTTATGAATCAGCTAAAAAAAACAAATAATCACGAGTCAATTGGACTTGACTCGGCTATTTTTGATACTAAAAGACAATAGTTAAGAGTATATATTTCTTTACGTAGGATTGGTTTGTATGACGCCATTTTAATAAATAATACATCCTCTCGTGAACGATTTTGACAAATATCGATGATCGAAAAAGAAATGAACGACATCTGTAGGAAAAAAATGACAAATTTGACAGAATACTTTTTTTTTCCATTCATATCGTTCTATATGCTATAAGATTCTTTTTTAGTCTTTTTAATATTCATTATCTTTTTTTTTTCTAATAGCGTGACAACTAAGAGCTGTTTAACTTTCAATTCTCATCATTGTCAAAATAGAATCGATCTAAAAGAACGATATAGACATGTGTTACCGTTAACCTTAGATGAGCAGCAGGTGGATGAATGCTCACGGCTAAAATACAGTATCTAACACTAACTCACATCCGATTAATCTATTAAATCCAGTTGTAGAATAAAAAAAAAAAAAGAATAAGTAAAACTGACAGGTTTAGGTATTACTATATATTATTGTGTTTTTTTTCGATTTATTGCTATGAATTATAGTCAATGATATGGATAGAACTATAATCTAGAAAATTTCTTCTACTAACAGCACTATTGCGAATTAACTCATGGTAGAATGGAATTCGATATATATAGGGTTATTTTCTTTTCTTTTCTTCGCATCATCTATCACTCTACTTCTCTATCTTGACAAACGATCGCGCGCATCTCGCGAAAGTAACCAACACAGCATGAATCTTCAATATTCTTTCTATACAATTCAAGTGTTAGACATATAACCATATCTAATTTGTTCATAAATGACTAAAATAATGCAATCAATCGTTCATTTTCATTTTACTTTCATGCTGTGTAACTGAAAATGTATTCGCTGTTTTTTTTTCTATACATAAAATACAAATAAACAACAAAGTAGAACAAATTTATATATATATATATATATATTACTGAAACAAAGACGAAAAGAATTAAGTTTTAATCCATTTTGTTTGTGAAGAAAAGAAGTCAAATGATGCTGGACGTTTTTTAAGACTTAAATCAAGTGGAAGATTTGATGAATAAGAAGATAAAATTAATTTTTTTGATAAACGATTTCGTCCTTTTTTTCGTAATGGAGGACAAATTTCACCAAATTTTGATGTTATTTCATCAATTATTGTTTGATTATTTATATTATTTGTATCAACAATATTTTCAATTAAAAATGATGAATTAGATGATGGTGGAGTTAAAAGATTAACTATTGATGATATAGAATTTGATAAGTCATTCGAAGATGATGATAAACAAGGTGAAATAGTAGATCTTGTTGAAATCATTGAACATGTTGAAAGAATTTTATCAATTGTTTCATATTTAATTATATTTGAATTAAATGAAAATGATTCATTTTTTTTATTTTCTATTGATGATGATGATGATGATGAACATAAACAATGACCAAATGATGTTATTTTATTAAATAATGTAAAACGTATAGGAATATGTAATGATGTTGTTGTTTTTAATGAACTAACTAAATCTGAATCTTTTAATAAATGATTATTTGAATCATAAAATGAAACCTAAACAAATAATCAAACACATTGAATAGTAAGACAAAAAAAAAAATTTGAAATGGAATGTTTACTTGTGTCATAGAAGAATGTGGTAGAATTTGTTGAATAAATGATCGAAGAATAGAAATAGGCATTGAACTTTGACATTGAAGATAGCGACGAGAAAACTAAACAAAACAAAAAGAAAAGAGAATAAATCATAAGAAAAGAATATCGTACTTGAATTGATACATCAGGATTTAATTGTAAACAGCTAAACAAAAATATTCGAAATAGAAATAAATTCGAATATAATTAATATTATTTACCTGCATTTTGTATCTAATTCAATATAAATATATTCATCATTGTCTCGTTTTGTTTCTGATGTTGTCATGAATCCTTCTATTTTGTGTTCTAGAGTAAAAATTATATATGTGTAAGAATCGTTGTAGTTTTTCAATAGTTCTATTTACTTGGTTTATGTTTGAAAGATTTTGATCTTGATTTCTGTTGATATATTGACTGTTTCGGTCTGATCATACAAGTTGGTGACATGTTTGGTGCGTACAACTTTTGTGTAAATGCGTGTGTGTATGTCTGTCGGCGAAGAAAAAAAAAGTGAATGCAATGTGTGTTCGTCTCGTTCACTTCTATTTTTTTTTCTTTCTTTCTGCCCTTTCTCTTTCCTCTTGTAAACGTGAATGAACAACCAATGAATGTTGGTTTCCGTCTGTTTTTTTTTGTCCAATAAAAAAAGCAATTATTTGGTCAATGTTCGTCTATCTGCCCCTGTTTACTCTCCGTTGGACTAATATATATACATATATGTGTGTATGTGCCCGCTCTCGGCCCGTCTCGCATATATATTTGCCTCACGTAGCAGGATAGGGCGAACGCACTCGCAGTTGAAGAAAGAAAAAGAAAAAAAAGAAAAAAAAGAAACCTCGTGTTTGCATATATGATTACAATGAAAGAGAACAGAAAAAAAAAGTAGAGTCGGACAAGAACGAATGATCTTTATATTTCTTTCTCGTTTAGCCTACGGCCTAGGAAGAAGAGAGGAAAAAAAGCTGATGAACAAATTGAGTACGTAACAGCTGTTACTTCTCATTCGTCGCTTCGAATAGCGTTTCTTATCATTTTCTTGTTCATCAACTTTCTAAAGAAACAAAGAATAAAAGAAGAAAAAAAAATTCATTCGTTAAAAAGAGAGACAGTCTCTCTTCATAATGATCATTTGCGCGTGTGTGTGGGTGTGTATATAAGACTAAATGAAGAAACATGAACCGAATTAGAAGAGAAAAAATGTCTTTATACTTTTTAGTTGATTTGACAATGAAGATGAAGTTAATTAAATGAATCAATAAGAGAAAGGCGGGTTCAATTAGTTCAATCTATCATAGATATAGATTGAATAGAAATTTTCCTTCTGTCTATGAAATGACCTTTGATGATAGATTTTATAAACTAAAACAACAATAATATTAATCTGTTAGTCATTATTATGCCATTAGATTTTCAAGAAAATGTTGAAAGATGGAGAAAATTTTGTTAGATGAACTTTTAATATTGATATGACTGAAAACTTGTCGATTCTCAAAGACAAATGACCTATATGAAATGACGATGTTCAACTATATTCTCGAATGACCACTTTTGCTTTCGTCTCTTCTTCTCTCTCTCTCTTTCTCTCTCTCTTGTACGCGCCATTTGACCGTCAAGAGCCATCAAAAACGAATCGCACAAGTGCAAAGACGAGAGAATAGCAATCATCTTATTTTAGAGGGTGTGAATTTATATCAGCACCTCCTTCTCCTCCCTCTTTACTATCAATCATTTTGATTTTCAATATGACCAATAAGAATGAAGAAAAGGAAATTGTCACTCGATCAAAAACGAAAAAAAACAAAAAAAGATGATATTCATAAAGAATAGTTTATGATCAAAGAAGCGGTCAATTAATTGAACTTAAATAATAAAAATGCTCCAATCATGAAAAAGTTTTTCTATTTTTTTTTTTTGCTGATAGATAATCTTTTTAGCAGCTGATATTTATTTCGTTCTTTAATATTCATGCTAACAAAGGATATTCTCATCAATCAGAGATTATTTAGTTCATGACAAGTTTATTCTTTGAGCACGTTTCAAGGATTAATACAAGAGTCTAATTGGATCCTTTTCTTATTTTCTTTGTTTTTCTTTTTTGCCTCAAGGGATTTTTTAATCGATTGACATTACTCATTCTTTTCTCGTTCTTCGATTGGATGATTTTGTCAAATGAACCAATCATTAATGATGATGATGATGATATGAACACTAACAAAATAAAAAAGAAAAAGAAAGAACGTTAAGCTTCTTAATAGTTAACTTCCGTTATTATTATTGTTAAAATACAAAAGAAAAAAAATTGAAAAAAAGTTTGTCCATATTTAATTGAATTCGATGTTGATCTTTGATCATGAAGCATTTCTAAATAAACACCATTTGTCCAACCAAAACCATCTTGCGTTTCATATTCTCCGCCACCAGCTGTTTTATTTATATTAATAACATCATATTTTTCCATCATTTTACTTGTATTTTGAAATACTCGTTCATTTAAATTCATCCATCGTTGACGAATTGTTTGAGCAAGTGATTCATAACCAGGAGTATTAAGTAAAGCTCGATATGTAACAAATTGTAATGGAGCCCATCCATTTGGACTATCCCATTGTTGTGTACTTTGAGTTGATGTTGTTGTAACAACACCACCCTCATGTAAAAATAATTTTTCAACTTGACGTGCAACATTTTCAGCTTGATCTTTTGTTGAAACATTAAGCCATAAAGGAAAAAGTGCAGCTAATGTTAAACGATTAGTTGGTTTCTTTTTTATATAATTATAATCAGTAAAAAATTGAAGATCATTTGACCACATATATTTGTGTATAGCTTGTCGACGACGTTCAGCTTCATTTTGTTTATTTAATATTATTTCTAAATGATATAATAAACAATTAAGATCAATAGGAAGAATATGTGCTGTTATTGTTGTTGATAAATCTTTTTCATCTTCCATCCATCGAGAACTAAAATCCCAACCAGATTCAGCAGCTGCTCGAAGATGAGCATATATATCTGTATTATTCATTTTATTTGCTATTTCTTTATCTTCCAAATATGCTTCTGGTCTTGGTCCAAGATTTAAATCATCATAATATCGATTTAAAATTGTTCCATCATCAAGTTTAATACTTCTTTTATTCATCCAAAATTGATATTCTAGTTCTAATTCACTTTTATATTTATCTGTTTTCTTAACTAATTCCGTCATTAATGAAAAAAATGGTGGTTGAGATCGTCCTTCAAAGTAGTATCGATTACCATTTGGAATATGTCCATTTTTTCGAATTAAATCAGCAAAATTTTCTAACATATTATCTATTAATTGCCATTCATTCGATCTTATTAAACCTAACATAGTAAAATATGTATCCCAATAATAAAATTCTCTAAAACGTCCACCAGGTACAACAAATGAATATGGAACATCAATAAATGATGAAAATTCTTCATGTTTTGTTGTTCGTGTTAATAATGGCCATAAACGATGACAATGTTCTTCAATTGTCCATTTATCATGTACAATAATTGTTGTATTTGGTAGAATAAAATTATCGAAAACAAATGAAGTTAAATTAAATGTTGTTTTATTATATTCTTGTCGATATAAATCAAGAATTCCATTTGGATTAAGTTTACGTGGAATAGCATCACAAAATGTTTTTGAATCAGGAAATATTCGTTGTATTTGTACAGCTTCGAATAATTCATCATAAAGTACATCTGGTGATTGACCAATTGTTAATAAAATATTTAGAAGAAAAATAATTAAATGAAGAGTCTTCATGTTTTTTTTCTCTTGTTTTACAACTGCATATATTGTGAAGGACACACACAACTACGATATTTGCTAGCTTTATATGATGTTGTCTCTTGAAGATTAAACACGCATTGTTTTATCTTTCTTATCAGAAGTAAATAGACAAAAAAAAAACAACAAAGATCAAACTATCAGTTGGTGTAATATATTTTATTACGACTATCTTCAAGGTATTTATCACTAACACAGACAAAAAGGTATTATTATTAGAATAGCGAAAAATTTTTACAAAATAGTTTATTCAATTAAACTGGCCTTGAAAATAATACGCAATATTTCTCACGAGGGAAGTCCTCGAATTGTTCAATCGGTTTTGAAGCGACACTATGTGCATTATGTAGATCCAAACAAACTATGAATGCCTGAAAAAGAGTTCGTGCCCTCAACTTATTGCTACGAAGATACTGCACTTTTACGGGTTTTTTTTAAAAATAAATGTTGTAGTCGTCTCAGAAACACCACAAAAACTGATTTTCAAATTTGTACTTAAAACTTTGCATAGATAGACACCTTAACGAGAATAGTTTATTGTGAAACTTTAAGATTTTTTATTTGCTTTTATCCTGAAAAAAGAATTTCAAATGTATCGGTTTATATGAGTAATGTTGAAAACGTGCTACTATCATAATTATAACTTAGTATAAGAACAATGATAGGATCCGAACCTTTTACAAATGAACTACTCTCGTTAGGGCTTGTCTCTATGTAAAGTTTCAAGTTGAAATTTGAAAATCAGTTTTTCTGTTACCATAGTATTGATTTAAACAATACTATAAAAGTGCAGTATCTCCATAGCAATAAGCTAAGAGCACAATCTCTTTTCAAAATATTGATAGCTCATTCGGATCTACATGATGCATATAGTTTCGACTCAAAAGCGATTGAACAGTTGAAGGACTTCTCTCATTAGAGAAATGATGATTCAAAGTGAAGATAATGAATTTATTGATGAATATAAAATGATTCTAATCGAAAACTTTATCAATATAGATTTGAGATCATAGTATAGAAATAGAGAATAATAGAAGATAACATTTTCAATGACTCGAATAAGGTTTTAAGTGTAATAAAGTTCAAGAAAGTGATTACTTTATTGTCGTTATCCAAGCAGATAAGAATTTTTGAAAATGCATTTAAATATTCTAATCGCGGTTCTCGTTTGAGCGTTTTAACCTTCATTGAAAAAACACTAAAACCAGCTACTGTCATCATAAAAGATATGTAAATACGCTTTAAAAGGCAATTTTTGCATCTAGAAAACGTACAAAGAGTTTTCTCGCAATATTTTTGACATACGCGACGTATAAAAACTAAGCATTTTTATCTGTAGAACATATCAACGTATTGCGAAAAAAAAATGTTGCACGCTTTCCAGATGCAAGAACTATCTTTTTAAGCATCTTCAAGTATCGTCTATAGTGAAAGTAGCTGCTTTTGATGTTTCTCAATGTACTTTTTAAAAAAATCAAATGGGAACCGCAAATAGGAATTTTAGACGTGTTTTTAGAAATTCTTGTCTATTTGTGTTGTTTATGATACCTCTTATTCTTATTGAGTTGCAGTTGCAGTTGAAAAGAAATATTTTAATATTAACACTCTAACATTCAAGTTATAGGCAACCTATTTGAAATTACCCATGTATTCGATTGCGATCAAATTGCGAAGCAGTTACGCGTAACACTCCGATGAAAAAATGACCGTTTCGCGTAATTGCGATAAAACAATCGTAGTTGCGCATGACTTCGATAAAAACATGACAGGTACATGTAACCGCGTCGCAGTTTTTCGCAATTACGAGTCACACTGATATTACAGTTGTGCGTAGTTACGGGAAAAAAATTACAGTTACTAAAAAAGACGACATAGGTAACGTTTTCATTTTATTAATGTTTTTATTAGGGATTACAAAAAATTTTTAAAATACAAAAAAATTTAAAAAAAGTTAAAAAAATAGAAAAATTTAAAAAATTGATAAGAAATGGAAAAGTTTTAAAAGTTTAAAAAAAAAGTAGAAATCTAAAAAAAATAAAAATCTAAAAAATAACACATTAAATATCTAGAAAATAAAAAATATATAAAAGGGCTCATCTCAGGCATACGAGCTTATTTCTTTCTTTTTCTGTTACCAAGACACATTTAGTCTCTCAAATTATTAAGGTAAGCATATCACGAATACTTTAATAAAGTAGTTAAAGTAGAGAATTTTTCACAAAAGAAGAACGTTTTTAAGAAAAGAACGGTTTCTTATAAAGTTTGATCAAAGGTATTAGGGGTCGAGGAATTCGAATCTGAGATCAGTTTTTCGGAATTTTCAATTCGATTTTACCACAAAAAGTTTTTATAAAAAATAGTTTTTAACAGAAAAAATTTTTCTGTAAAAAAAATAATTTTTCTCATGAAATAATTTTTTGTCAGATAAACAGTTTTGTCGTAAAAAAGTGATATTTTAACAAAAAAAAAGTTTCATGAAAAAACTGATTATCTGACAAAAAAATTGCTTGATGGAAAAAATTATTTTTTTCTTACAAAAAAATTTTTTCTGTTAAAAAAAATATTTCTTTTTTACAAGAAAGTTTTTGAAGTAAAATCGAACTCAAAATCTCGAAAAACCGATTTCAGAGTCGGATTCCTCAAGCCCTAAAATATTTGATCAAACTTTATAGGAAATCGTTCTTTTCTTAAAAGAGTTCTTCTTTTGTGAAAAAATCTATCTTTTAAATACTTTATTAAAGTATCCATGATGCTTATCTTGATAATTTGAGAGGCTAAAGGAAATGTCTTGGTAATAGAAAAAGAAAGAAATGAGCTCGTATGCTTGAGATGTATCCTTCTATACTCCATTTAGCCGTTATTATTGCTGTTTAAAAACCATCGAATTGGAACATTAAGATATTTATTTATCATTGGCTATTTTTCCAGCAACTGTAAGAAAAGTGAATACTTTAGCAGGCACTGCGCTCACTGCGTCGTAGATGCGAACGCAAATGGTTTGCAGTGAAAGCAGTCTATTTCTTTAATCTCAACTGCGGCCAGTGCGTCGCAGTTACGCGTAACTGAATCGCAAAATGGCTACTGCGCGTAACTGCGACACAGTTGTTAAAAAGTGGTGATATGGGTAGGGGATGGATTCATCAATAGAAATATAGGCTACATAAGTTATACTATTTATTTAGGATTGCTAGTTACATGTCTGTTGTCTTAACGTTGAGATAAGGATGGTAAGGCAAAAGCGATTTTTATTTCCAAGCGAAAAAAAAAGAACATAACAATGATGTCGACCTTTTGTATTTCGAATTTTTATTAGGTTGATATTAATCTCAACTTCATCTCACAATGGAAGGGTCTGTACTGTAAGTGAGCTAGATTAGACATGTTCGGGTCAAATAAAAGGTCTCACTGCCAAACTACTAAATTTAAATTATTAGCTGCCCTTGGCTTGTATGGATGGAGATAATTAACTTCTAGTGTATTGACGCTTTCAGTATAGTAACATCAATATACAGGAATTATATATATCCATTTCATATATAGCCAACTGAATATTTCGATAGTATACATCAAAAATCTTTCTGAGATTCATCGACTTTGTTAAGAATATAGTAATTTCGATGTCTTCTGAAACGTAAGTGGTATCATAATCTAAAGAGATGAGCATTTTGTTCAAAACGTAATATTATCGATATTTCATATTTTATTTTAATTGAACTCAATAGACTGTACAGGATAACTAAAGGGTGGTCACAAAGTTTCAACCCCTCCTTAGTAAATCAAGAATATCTATATCAAACTCATATGAAGGTATTGATCAAATTATGTCATTTTGTGGAGAAAGAGAAGAGCTATCATCTGAAAAAAAGACAGTTTGAAATATATATATTTATTATAAAGGTATGGTCATTTTACTAATTTCGAGTGAAAAATTTTTATGTTGCGTTTTTTTGCAAAAAAACAAAAATATTCTAGCATTATTTGAATAATCGTAGTCGATTGAGATATGGATTTTTACATATCTTCAGTAGATATTTTTATATGATTAGATAGAGTTCGACAAGCTCTACCAAAATATAGACATCCAAAAAAATTTTTGATCCTCTTTTGAATACAAAACCTGAAAGCAATCAGACAGACTAATAAAAATCTGGCAAATCGTGTGTTGCATAGTATACGTAACTTTCAATAAGTTTGGTAGATCGACTGTTCTGTCTATTATTTTATATTTTGAGATGCTTTGTCACGTACTGTAGATGAAAATACCCTTTCCGAGCTTCAAGAATAGACTAACTAATCGATTGACTAAAGGTATTGGAAATTAAGCACGCTTTCTTTAATACACGATATATC